AGATTCACAAAGACAGACGGATTCTAAAAAAAGAAAAAAGAAAAAAAAAGCAACTGATACTTATATATCAACGCACAAGAGCGAGCACACAGAACAAATTTAGTGAATTTCCATATAAATTCGCTGGCTTCCTGCCGATATAGATGAGAGAACTAAACCACCGGTCGCGTATAGACCTTCACCTCGCCTCACACGCATGTACAGACACGCGCGCGTGCTCTCGTTGAAAATCAAGGCGGATGAATTTCGCACGTGGCACGCCGGCATTCGGATGCTTGCAATTAAACTCTCTGTTCCTCCCCTACTTCAGAATCCCTCGTTCGATTTTTTTCCTCACTAGCACCTCTCCACCCCATTATGTCTGGATTGTTCTCTTTTGATGCACGCGTGGCAAGTTTCACGCGTGTTTTCGCACGCGTGCATTGAATTTTCATTGATTTTTGGGGTGAAAGAGGCCTACTCTGCTTCACATTCTTCCTCATAGTTCCACTCTGAAATCCACTTCTCTGTTTCCAACTACTAAATTGCACGAGTGTTGTTGGCAAGCGTTAAATATGACCCATTCTCTTTCGGTTAATTAGCAGTGGAGAGAGGGAAGGGGGTTGAAAATTTTTTCCGTTTTAAAGTCAAAAATTATAATTTTGAGTCCAATTTCCAAAATGAAAGCATGCTTTTTATTTTATTTAATTTTATTGTCATAACGTTCTATACGACGCATGAGAAGAATTCCGAACAAAACTGATCATCTCATTTGTGAAATCATTAGTTCGTTTGTTAATATTATATAGATGATTGAACATATGATAAGTTTGAATTTGATTTTTAAAATAAATTTTGGCTCAAGGGAAAAACGACCGACGATGTCGTGTAAATTTCATTTGTGTAACATGGCTCTAGCAGGTGATATATATGTATGACTTGTATAAACACTGTATCTATTCTTCTCATAAAATATGTTTCATATCTGTGCGACTCATTATTTGTAAGTGAATGAACTGATGGCGTTACGAGGATTTCTCGATTTGTGAATAAATAAAAGTGGCACGGCTTGTGGTTAAGTTACTTCATTAGAGCTTTTTATCTGTGAGAAAAGTACCGCGTGTCTTTCGGTCTCGTGTCTCTAGCTAATCTCTCCAACTCCCTGTCGCTTGCTTCGCAGCTTCTCCTCTCTGTTCTCCTATACCTTTTAGGGACCAGGCCTGAAGGGACGCACAGCTGTATATGCTGTCGTAGACATAACAAATGGTAATTTTTCCGGGATTTTTCCTTTTATTCTCTAGGAAATTCATATATTAATAGATACAGCGTTCGTACTAGTTATATATACAACAGATTTTACACAAACATGTGAGGAATTGTGGTATAATCGTATACCTACGGATACTTACTAACTAAATGAATATTTACGATTTTAGTAAGTTGAACTGTTTAGTCCTAAACGTGCGTGTAAAATCGATGTTTCTCCCCATACTATATACTGGAAAAAATACATGTGGCTTACAAAAATTTGATAGCCAGACGAGCCATTCCACAAGTCATTTTGTTCATAGCCAATTTATGCATAGTACGTATAGCTTCCTGTTTATTAATAATTACACTATTACGGAGTCCTCGTCTGAATTATTATTGAATGGGAGGATAATGTTAAATTTCTTGGAACTCTTGGAGATAATTGTGAGCTATGCCTTCGCCTTCGGCCAGGTTGCGAAAAATCACCCCACTGGTGAAGCCAAGCAAAATTCACAAGCTTTTAAAACCAACACGCGAATTCCAGGTAAATTACTACGGCGCGCCCAAAAAAGTACTTTTAAAATTCACTGGTTTTAATTAATTGCAAATGAAAGTTTTGTGCGCGTGTAGATCCCCCTTACCCAAGTTGTTGAGTTGTAATTGACGTTTCTTGTAATTTGACTATTTAATATCTTTTATACCAGCAAGGAGGAGGGGAACCAAGAGCATACGCATCCCCTCCTCCAAACAGCGTATATATATTCTCGTTTTTTATTAGAGATTAAGTTTATTTTGCTCTTCCCTAGCAATCGTTGAAAAACACGAAAAGAACGGTGGCTCAATTAGATCTCCTCGTAAGAATGAAATAATTTTCCACAGTTTAATTATTACCACGTTTTTTTTCATAATTAAATTTTATTTGACGAAAACATAATTTTTCTGTTCTACTTGAGCATTCCAAAAATAACGAGTTTATCTTTAAATATGCGTACAATATTTGGTTTGTAAACGTAACTTGAATTAATATTTCTGCAGTAACTGTATTGAGTTTTAGGACTTAAGGGAGTTTACTCGTACCTAACCTTTTTGACGCATAAGATCAGCAGTATTGTAACCTGCATAACTATGTATACAGATATAACGTCTCATACTAACAGTAGCTGTCGAAGGAGAATTATTTTATTCACTAATTTATTGCTCATTTCATAAGCCATGAGTGAAGATGAGACTATAGCTACGTAATCACCAAGTTTTTAGCTATTTCAAAAAAATTTCCAATCAAATCTTGATGTCGATTATCGAGATATTGCAGGTTATGTATCAGAACAGTACTGATTGTCATAAGACTGCACGTTAAAAGTTCAATAATAAAATTATCAATATCTCACTTTATAAGCCATAAAGGGACTTGAAATTCGAATCGAAGTTTCTTCATACACTAATTAATCTCTGTTCAAAGTATTATCAATATATTGACGTTAATTCTTTTAGCGAGTGAACTCCTTTAAGGAGTGACGTAACAATTTTTAAAGCCTATTATTCACAATATCTGCAATCACTAGACAAAAACTCGCTATTACTTTACCTTCTTTATGAATAAACAACATTTATTTGATTTAATAAAGTAATCGGCAAAGAGGGCACTATGGCATGCATGCTTGCAGCAACTGCACTTAAGGTTGTGTCATCGTCACAAAGTAGTCCAATGCAATCATCCATAATTTGACCAAATTGTTTAGATTGATCTGTTTGCTCAGAGCTGAGAAATAACTTTTAGTTTAAAAAGTTTATGAATGTTGCTAAATGTGCTGTACGTTAATTCCTCGAAAAATTTGGTAGAGCTTTGTTTGCTAGATCTGTAACACTGTTTCTTCACCTCAAAACAAAGAAAGGCGCCGACGCAGCGTTAGCAAATCTCGATCACGTACGTCACCTTTGTCCCTCTTACACCTTGGGTTTCTTCTCCTGAAAAAGGGGGATTGGCGCAGGAGTTCTTCCGTTCTACGAGGAGAACTATTAAACGAACACAAACAAATATCTTTAACTACTGTTTATTCAATCACTTAACCCTACTACACAGTATCTCCTTACACAATACACGGCACAACGCTTCATATCGTCCTCTCGACTGCGCTGCAGCGACTCCGCCTCGCACCACGCGAGCCGCGAAGGCACGATCACCACGTTCTGCTTATCCTGGACCAGGAGGGGCTTCTGCTCGTCCCGGACACACGCTACTGTGCACACACTCATACTCTGTCCTCAATCCCACACACTACTATATCATCTCTCTCTTTACTCTGCTCGCTCTTGTTCTCTACACTCATACGCTCTCTTTTTCTCTGGTCTACTCGAAGAAGCTACTCTATCTCTATCTCTATCTCTCTCTCTCTCTTTCTCTCTCAACTCTACTATCTACCCTGACACACGACAAAACGTGCGAACAATGGCGGCACCCCCAAGCATGTACCTCACGGTCTCTCGTTCACCTCATCTCGTCAAGTCGTCAACCCACACACTACTTCTCTCTTTCTCTCTCTCTCTCTCTCTCTCTGCCTACGCTACACTCTCTCTTTCTCTAGCATCACCTCCTGGTCAAACCTCCGCGAGTCCAACCCAGCGCGATGTCGTCCGGGGTCCTCGAGCGGGTTGTTCATCCTACGGCTTCACTATTTCTCTTCTCTCTCTCTTACCCTCTTCTTCTTGTCTCAAAGGCTTTCGTAGTCATCGACCTGGAGACCTCGTCGTCCTGAGAGAACACAGCAGCTGCTAGACTCGCGCGCATACGTCTCTCTCTTCTCTCAACACTCTACTCACCTTCTCGAAAACTCTCTCTCTCTCTCTCTCAAACTCTTCTCTCGCCACGAAAGCCCGCAAAAATCACCGAAACTCTCGCTGCTCGCACTTAGGCGTATAGGTACAGCTCGAGACTCTACTCCAGACTAACTCGCGATCTCTCGCTTGAGCAATGGCCGCCGCCGCTGCTGCTGCCACGTATCTCCCATCGCAGTCACTCTTGAAAGTCTTGATATGGCAGTTACTGTGTGCCCCGGTAGTCGCTTTCGTATTTTTCTTGTCCTTTCTCGCTGGCGCTGCTGTATCTCTGCAGCTCAGATGGTTGTCCGTTGGCGTCCTCTTTTCCTCTTCTCAGCGTATATACTTACAGCTCTCGAAAAACAAACGAATTCGGAAAAGCTTAAAATGAATGCTCTTTGTATAAAATACGTTGCATCAGCGAGAGCATTTTGGGACGTGGAGGCTATTTTGCATCGTTACAGATCCTACTATGTATTAGTTTGAAGATCAATAATTTATGGTGAAAACGTAACATATTTTAAAGCAGGCTTTCGATTTTAACTTCATACAATTGTCATGAATGCTCTCATACAAGACTCAGAATGGGTTTATAAGAAAATTTAGAGATATTTTCAAAGGGTAACTTGAGATTTTTTTCGAATCATCTTAAAACCTGATCTTTTTAAGTTGTCAAATAAGGCAAAACTCGTGAGAAGTAAAGTTTTTGATTAGAATGCGTGCTAATTAATCACTTGATTTCTGAGGTTTCTGAGTGACTCCGATACTTCAATGATTAATATTCGAAAAATCTCTTCTTGTCTTGAGTTTTAATAAAAAAACTTATTCATTTGTAGTACTATGGCTGCAAAATTAAAAAGTCGACGTATTAGTTAAATTGTAATGATAATAATAAAAATAATAACAATAATGATAATAATGATAATAGAAACGAATTTTCAATGTGTCAATTTCAGCACTCCATGATCTACTTCTTTCACCATTACGAGCTGCCGATGATTCTGCAGCAGGCGCAGCTACAGCAGCTGATCTATCGGAATCATGGTCAATCAGCCCAGCCAGTGCCGCCCCAGCAGCAGCCACCGGCGACCCCGTCTACGACGCCGGCCGGTGAGGCAGCCCAGCAAAGCTCGCAACAGAGGCAACAGGATGCCCCATCTCAGCGGGACTACATCAGCGATTTGTCCCGTATCGAGAATCTAGGTGGCGGTGTCACGCAGTTCGTGTTCCAGGTTCGACAGCCCGAGCCACCGACGAGCGGTGAGTGGAGCGTTATGTTTTGGCCTCGATCTTTCCCTCCGTTTTGGGGCACGATAGAAAAACGTCACCGCAATGCAACCCCTACCTGTAGCATCCCAAAACTCTGACTGTGAAACGCAATACAGAAGTGCGCCGAAAATGTGGTATGATGGTAAGACGGATGCGTCTTTACACCTTGTAGGTATGTGATCTACTCGGTTCCTGAGAGCTCCCATCACGTTTTGGAAAGGCGATTTAAGGCCCAAGTGATTTAGTTACGACCTCACTGATGATGTACACGGCATGTACACGTCACAGCGATAATGGGGGAAGGACCACTGTGGTCTCGAATATTAAACACGAGTGGAACAGATCCAATGGGCTTGTTTCTAGCATCAGGTGGCGCTAGTGTGCCCAGGTAAGATTTCCATAGGAGTATACCTATATATTGAATAGATTTCATTTCATAGATTTCAACCTGATGCTAGAAACAAGCCCATTTTTTTCGGCTTACTGATTCACTACTAATACTGTCTAAAGTTTTCAGATCTTTAAAATTTTTTATTCTTCCTGTCAAACATACTTCAGTTACATTTTGTTTGATAGAATAAACGATGTAACTAGAGTTCATGGCGTTTTTATAATATTTTCATACGATTCCAGTAAGCTAGGAAGTTTTTTAGTCCGAGTTTATTGCCATTTTTCAGAAAACCCATGTCCTATGCATTTTTAAAGACATTAAAGAAGGGTTACGCTAGTGACGTTACTAAGAAGTGAGTAAATTTTAAAATTACCGAATTAGATCCGTGTACCACTGGAACTGGTGATGATCATGAAATTTTATCTTCTTTTTTTCTACCTTTTGCTAACGCATGAACTTTTTTGGTTGTATCATTAAATGTATAATAAATAAAAAACTTCTTACAATATTTAAAAATAGTTCTAATGTAATAATTAAATATTTTGTTTGAAATGTCTGGGATATAAAACAACAAAGTTACCTTTACATTCAATTGTTTTGTACATTTAACATTTACATATTTTTGCAATATCCTATTATATCAAAATTAACTTATCCCTCGTTAACCCGTTCGTTTCGCCATTTACATAAGACTTGTTACTTTTCTACTGCTGAGTAGAGTTGTGATTTTCATGAAAATAATACCTTATTTGCACTTTGATGAAAACGCAACAATCAGGCGCATGTGGCTATTGGCGCTCGCGGATTTTAATTATTTTTCATTCCAGCGAGAACACTGTCGCTAGTCGTTTTGCGAGTCCATTTCCTCATACTCTTGATTTACAGCTCGACTCGTTTCCGTCTACCTCAGATCTTGTTTTCGGTTTTGATGGGCTCGTGTAAAAGCAAAAGTAATCGAGTTTTGCGTTTTTGCGTGGTTATCTATTTCGGAATGGACACTGGATCGACTGACTTCTGTTTCGTTTGACTTGACAATTTCACATTCTGTGGCGCACTACTGTTATCACCAAGTCTTTTTTTCAGGCTTAAGTACATGAGTGTTAGGTTTTTTAATTACCTGCGCTTCGGTTTCGAAGAAAAAGTTTGACAGGTCGATTTTCCATAATTTCAATAATTTCGTAGCCCAAACATTTTTATCCTCCACAAATTAAAAAGTTTTAGTTTTATGATTGCAAGATTCACAATTTTTTTTTTACCTTTACATTAGGGGTATCTTTCCCAATTATGGACCCCATTAAGAAAAATTTCGAGCTCAACTTTATTTTGTGTCTAACGGTCAATAGAACAACACCTTGTATCATAACGTATAAGTCGTTTGATTCTTTTTTAACAACATCAAATTTTTTTTTATCAAAAAATTTTGTTATTTTTATTTTAATGATGAAACAAGAAAAAAAAATTTTGTCCGTATTACGGACCCCCTCGATGGACTTTGAACCTATCGTGAACCCTCCTATTACGGACCCTGCCCGTAATGTGGACCCCCCAATTATGGACCCTGTCCATAATGTAAAAAAATATTTGTATGGAATTAAATAAACATTTGAGATTTATTTATAAGTACTTCTGACACTTTTAACAAAATATATGACTAGGCACTTTTTGAGATAAGTTTTTAAGAACAAATTTTTATATAAAACTAATTTTGTGATAATTACTGTTATTTTTTTTTAATTATAACAATCTTATATTTTTTATGACTTTGTAATGGTTGTTTAGTCTTCTTGGTGCGTTTTTTAAGAGGCATTTTTTGTTGTTCTTTCTTTACTTTTAGAATAAAAACAACAGCTCGAAGTTATGGAGTTGAAGGTTATGTGTTCACTCAATACTGGCGGAATAAAGGGTCCATAATAGAGACAGAGCCGATAATCATGGCTGTATTGTGGACCCTCTAATAATGTATATAAATAAACTTTTTAGGAGTATAATTTGTTTTTATTATTTTTCTGAAACTCTTATTGATATATTAAACCATTTTTTGAGTTCAAATAATACTCCTAATTTTTTATACAGCATTTCAAAAATATGAGTATCTTACGGTTTTCAACAAGGCATGATGAAGAAAATAGTCAAAAGCGTTGTGTGACTTTTTAATACATTATTTTAATGATATAACATTATTTAAATGCTATTGTTTGTCATTACTATGGTGAATTAGAGAGAAAATAAAAACTTAAAAAATAGTTCATTGTGCTATTGAAACACTCGTTTAACTTATCATTAATAATGTGATAATGGGTCCACGATAGGGACAGGGTCTATAATTGGGACAGATACCCTAATATAGTTGTTCTCAACCTCACTTGCACATAAGTATGTAGGTATGCACATGCCCTATGTTAAATATTTTCAATCGCCACTAACGAGTTGAGAAACAAAAGCAAGCGCCTTTCTTCTTCTGCCCTAGTAGCATCGAGCGGAGCGTCGAGTACAACGTCGACGCCTACCACTACACCTTCGGAGTCGTCGTCCGCGAGCAGCGAGGCAGGATTGACTGCGACGAAAAGCTCAGCCCCGGTCGTGTCGACTTCGGGACTCGAGACACCCTCGCTGAGCGAGGCCTCGTCCTCGGAAAGTTTCGAGGTCATCGAGCCCTCGGAAACCAACGTCGGTGCACCGCAGCAACCGATAGACAATAGTAGCAGTAGCGTCAGCACGGACTGTTAAAGAAGTAGAATATAAACATAAAAAAAAAGGAACGAGCGTGTTTTTCTTTTTTTTTCTTTTCGTCCAGATAAGTAAACGAGATGGATACTTTTTTTTTTCGATCGTGTTGGATCGCTTGGTGTGGAGTGGACGAGTACGGTAGAAATTACGTGTAAGTAGGTTGTCGGGTGTACCTCTTGACGAGTTTCGAGGCTGAACTCGAATTAAAAACAAAAAAAGGCAAAGAAAAAAAAAAAATTTAAGTGAACATACGTAGAGTGCAAAAAAAGTAAATGACTCTCGAGCGAAAATGTGTATATTATTATGAGTAATTTATTGTAAGGCGTTCCCTGTCGTTTTTCTTATTAATGCTCCTATATCGTTACTCTTTCACCCTATTGCAGTTTGTCTATTATGTAATGTACACCCATTTTACTGTAATTTTCCTCGAATAGTTGTTTTGTAAGTTCCGTTTTATTAACAAAATTTTGGAAAAGTAACAATAATGATATGATTAGAATAATTAGTATGGCGAAAAATGTGATTATTGTTTGTTCAAGTGATGAAATAAATGGCGCTTGATTGTTATTTATTAAATTCTTTTATAAAAGTGGTTTGTCAAGCATTATGCATAATAGATGAAACAATACCATAAAAAAATACATTTAATATCGAAAAAACATAAACAGTGAGCAAATAATAAATAGTAGCGAAAATTTTTTTCCATTAACGTGTTTGATCTCGGTTAAGACTTTACATAGAACATTATCATGTTTACTAATGTGAGAACACACTTTATATGTACTGTACAGCGATGGCAGAATTTTAACGCATATAACATATTTATACGTTCGTACGTATATGTGTTTTGTTCAATTCAATTATGGAAAAAGGCAAACAAAGAAATTTTTATTATTTTCCCTGTTTTCTTGTAAGTAAAAATAATTTATGTGAAAATATTTTAAATAAAAATAATTGAATAATTATCATCAACAACGCCTTTTATACTTATTTTTCTACATTTTTTTTCTGGCCAACCTTTGTGGTACATGATAATAATCCAGATAAATAAATATTCCCAATCCATTCTACTTACCTATTTATCATGTCCTAAAATGATTGACTCATAATTATGAGAATATAAGTAGCATCACAATAGTTTATAGAGCATATTAATTATTAAAAATTATTTCCAGCCCATTTTACTTTGGACTAAATTGTTGCGGTAAAACATAGTTTTTCGGAATTTAAGATACTGGTAAAGATACAAACTTAATATGATTTTTTTTTCTGTGTATAATAGATGTTTCATACATATTATAGAATTTTGATTTTTAATCTTTACACTTTTACATGTTACCTGGTATACTTACTATTGTATGTTATATGTCCCGCATGTTGCGTGTACTTTACTACTCTAATTATTTCTTTATTTCGTGTTCGTTATTTGACCCTTACATTTATACTTAAACCAGCTCTTTTTGTACTGCAATGAGGAAGCACAAATAGTATTGACATGGAATAATTTTTATATAAATCTTGACATGTCACAACAAGACACTTAAATTCGTACTGCTGTTTGTAATATAATCCATATTTTTATTATAATGTAGAGTTAAGTTATAATGAGATCAAATATATTTCTTTGATAAAGATACTTCATCCAATACTAATATGATGCGTAGTATTTTTTTTTTAATTATTAGTAAAAAATTTTACTCTAATTCACATTTGATAAGAAAGTATAAGAATTTAAAGTACAGAATGGTATTTTACATGCCCTCTGGAAGAAAATTTTCTCAAACATACATCGTGCTCTCGAACAAATTCATCATGGGAAACTTCTTATTTCGAAACAAGTCTAGCCTCAATCTCGCGGTTCGCGGTATTTTGTTTCCTTCGTGCGGAAGAAAAATAACTACACATGAAACGAAAAAGAAAGAGCACACACAAAAAAATGATACCAACGAGTTCTCGAGCAAAATTACAAGTCAATGGGTGGCTCATTTGAAGTCGGTTCGTAAGGGAAGGCGGGTACGCGGGGCCGAATGAAAATCGGGAAAAGGTAAGCCTGCAAGATGGATGCGGAAAAATAAGAGTCGAGCTCCCGAGGAGCTTCGGACGTTGAGGAAGAAAAGTCGTTCATCACGCCGTGCCTGTTCACGTGTATATAGGTACACACATGCCTCGGCAGCATGTATGCGTATATGTATACGCGGGAAGCTGAAGTGCAAAGTAAACCCTCCCCTTGCCGCCATTCGAACCTCAATTGTTATTTATGCCCCGTTTGCCGTGATCCTTTCCATGTTTCTTCTTTTCTTCAATTTTGTCTTGGATCCCTGCTTCAGATTTTGCTGATTAATAAACTTTTGAGTAATATATTTCTTTTTTTTTTTTTTCAATCGCACGTCTACTACATAGAGAAAAGTTCACTGAACTGTAAACGGATTCGAGGGGCAGTCAATAAAAAAAATCCTACATAGTATGCTAAGGATGTAGAAAGTCATTTGAAGTCGTCCAACAATTTTGATATGTTCTAAAGTAATCTTTGTAAATATTTGAGACCTTCCGACTTTTCCTGGAAATTTAAACCTTGAATCGACTGGAATTTTCATCGAGACCCCAGCCTCTGGGCAAACAAAAGTCTCCAGAGACATTTCTTGATAATTAGCTGACAATGGAGCATATAATTTACGATACCCGTGATCAGCCAAAGGGTCACTGCACCGGGTCGTGCTTGTTATATTAAATAAGCGGTGAACGAATCACAGGTCGCGTTAGTGAAAAAGTTCGCCTGGTATCTCGAAAAGAAATGTACCGCACTCGGTTAAATCCATTTAATTGCGCTGCCGTGCGATTAAGCGCGCGAGTAAAAGCCGAAACAGACGCATGGGAGGGGAGTTAAAAAAAAGAGAGCAGATTTAAAAGAGATCGGCGGGGCAATGGAAATTGATAGTTCCCCGGCGAGCGGTGGCGTAATGAACGGGCACGTGTTCGTCCTTTCCCCCACGGTGCTGTCCAAAATAGACAAATGGACGTCGAACCTTTGAAAACGTCGCCCGACAGAATCAAACAGGTGTCGCGGGAGGATGTCCCTAGCACGAATTGAACGGACGGGGGGTGACGTCGGGTGCTACAAATGTAACGGTTTGTTTTCATTAGCGCCTGTAATTGGGCACGCCCAGTCGGGACGGGCTTTCACTTTGTCTTGCTCCTGGAGTCGGCGATGTATTGATGTGTACCTACGAGATGCCGAAGCAGGAGGGAGAGGCTTTGTATACACCTGTGTGCACATACCTAATGCTGCGTGGGTTTGGTTATACGCGTGACGCTATTGAAGAGAACAACGACGGGGATCTGTAAGTTGAGGGACCAATTTTTTCATTGCTTTTTTCGGAGTTTCACTTATTAACTGTGCTTCCTTCTTAAGCGCTTCTATTTATACATCAGAAGTATTCCTTGATTGACTGTCAGTAATGAAACTGTTTCGATGTCGTGCAGTTATCGTATGCTCAGAGGTACAGTACAGCGCCACAGAGTAAACAAAAAAATAAAGCAAAGTTTAAGTACATCATTTTCATTAAATTACAAAAAAATTCACCAACGCAAGAATTGCAATCGGACACACTTGTATATTACGTGCCAAAGGAAGAAAGTACGGCATTCTCTCTGGGACGTGTAATTGTCTCTCGAGCTGAAGATTTCAGGGAGAAAAATGCAACATAATTTCTCAGGTAAAAATTGCATTTACTGCTTATTAGGAAAAGTATTTTGGCTTTCTCTGCGAGGCAACCGTTAAGCGAATAACAAAATACTTCTTTTGTGAGCTGTAAATGCCATTTTTTGACTGTGGCACTTTGCTCTCTGAAAACAAAAAACAAAGTCGTACTTTCGAAGGGCGTATGAGAAAAATTAATTGCATGATTCCCTACAATTTTTGTACCCAGCTTTTTTCACCCAAACGTTACTTTTTGAGATATCTAGAAAAAGTATGTTTAAAAACGTATTTTCAATTTTCCTGCAATCATCCTGGCGAACTAAAATGATGAAAATAATGACTCGAGTGGTAATGCTATCAAGTATTCATTGAAATAAATAAATAACATTCGACGCTTCGGCCCGTACAATTATACATAAAGACAACAATGCCCTCATCAGGTACAAATATTGATCGTCACACAGGTGACTATGTGTAGTACACAAGATGGTAGGGCGGCGAATCATTGCTTTAAACATTTATCATCAGCTATCACTTGAGTCTGACAACAATTGAGCTAAAACGATGGTAGAACTCATATCAACCACTTTGCAAGTTTATTGACCACTTTTGAGCTAACTAAACTCTGGATAGGATGTTGGTTGTTCCTGCAAAAAGTCTCGTTTCCTCTGTCTACTTGGCTTGATTGCTTCTGCTTCTACCTCACAATGAATATTTCTCTAATCCCTGACGATTATTTTCGACCATTGCAATTTCAATTTCTTTCACAAAAACACGGGGTGTATTTTCCAAAGAGGTTTTCCTTCTCAAAAAGCAAAGGGAAAAGTTGACATGGGAACGGTAGTTCGCGTCGCGCGGAAAGGTAGAGATAATCGGGGAAAATCCGCAAGACCGCGCGCGCGTACACAGCGCACGCCGAGATTGGAAAGGGTGTTGGGAGCAGCAGCACGAGGTATTTCGGTATTAGCCACGTGGTTTGCTCGCCCGCCCGGGGCGAGCAGTGAGCCCTTTTAGATTTGCATCCGGGGAACGACCTACCCCCACGGACTACTTTATTTAATTGGCTGCGCTCGCTTGCCTTGTGCTCGCTTCTCGCATCTACTCCACTCCCCCCCCCTACCCCATTTTCTGGTCTGTTACTTTTTTTTTTTTTTGCAGCTCTTACCCTGGTGAAACGGATAGTTTTTCATCAAGTGGTTGGAGAGATTTTTGCGACTTTTTTCTCTCAGCCCTGCGATGTGCGTAATCATCAAGCATTTTTTCTCGGTTCCGGGGATCGCTCTTTGGTTTGCGTTTCACTTGAGCACCCAACATTCGTGGTATCGAAATCTCGTCGAACGAGTATCGATGACTTTTTTTTTTTTTTTTTTAATCTTGCAACGTCCAAGAGTACTCGTCATTGCCGTCTCATTTCGTATAACCACTGTTATTTATTTATCTGATCGATGAACCCGAGAGACTCAATGTCGACGTTCTTAATAACCAAGGAGACACTGTGCCCAAGTGGGTAAAATGAGATGGCGACGAACTTGCTCGAGCAATGAGGCAAAGCGGCCGTCTGTGTATAATTATTCGGCTCAATAAAAACGGCTTATCCCTCAAAACAATGGGGCTGTCGCTCGCAGGCCCGCGTCCGCCGATGTATCAACGACATTCATTCCTCGCTCTTCCGCGCTTCTCCTTTGTACCTGTCGTCGTCGTCGACCCTTCTTTGCCTTTCTGTATTTTACCCCCCGCCCCCTCGTTCCCTCTTTCCCTTTGTTTCATTCGGTTGACTTATCGTTGCTGTAATGTAGCAGCCTTTTCTCTCCCCATTAGTCGAGGGAAAGCGAATGAAAATAATTTTTTTCATATAAAATAAAACGTTGGTTGTTTGGAAAACTATTTAACTTGGAGTTAGCTGATAAAAATGTATGATTCTGTACTTTTACCTCCTTGAGTCGATTAATAATTTAAAAGTGACCCAATTGGACAATCAGCTTGGAACGGCTGACCGAAAACGCGCATTACTACTTGAATCGATACGGGTATTACGTAAACATTTTTAAACCTTTTGTTGGCTATGCTTGTCTTCAAAACAACATGTACGATTATCTCTTACAATGTTGTTAGTTATTAATTTTACGATATTAGTAAAAGCCTCGTAATGTGGTTGTCTGAAACTACTAGTGTTAAAGTAAAATGATCATTAACTTGGTTTTCAGAACTGTGGATGTTTT